AACTGTGATACAAATGTAGTGCTCCTATTTTATAAAGTCACATTGAGTTAAAGAAAATAATACACATCGCTATTGATTGAAAAAATTTATGAAAATAGTGTATAGAAAACAAAAGTCAATCTGGAAATTTCACATTACCACTCACTTTCAGATAAAAAATTCAATAGCATTGTGCACTTGTTCTCAAATATAATTTATTAAGATTTCAATTATACCACAGGATTAGTAATAAAACACTAAAATGAATAGCAGAATCATACCCTAATCTGAAGTATCTTAATTTACAAAAGGACAAATATATATTCTGTAATATAGGCATAATAACTGATGAAGGTCTATATGCAATTATCCTGTTATGCCATAAATTAGAATATCAAATATTTCTTACTGCACAGATATTCGTGAACTATCAATTTGTAATATTATTCGTTCTTATCTAAAGCTCAAGTAATTCGACCTTAGCTTTGTAAAATTACTGAAATAATGATTGAAGAGATTGTTAGTTCATGTCTTAATTTAAAATATCTTAATATAGAAAGATATTATAAAATTAGTAAAGAAGCTGTAGATAAGTTAAATCCAAATATTCATGTAGAGAATTTTATGAAAATTTTAATGCCTTCTGATCTTATTAGAGTAGTTAATAATCAAATTTTAGCTCAGGGCCTTCAGAGTCTTTTAGATTTAAGTATGCGAGATAATTAGAATTTAGCCTTACATCAAATATACAGGCAACTTAATTTCAATACAATTGCGATAGTTTTAGATGACATACTAGCTAACTAATCTAGCTAGTCTAGAGCAGTAATCATCAGCATTGCATTATTTGGTATATTGTATTTCACATTTTTTTCATTTGAAAATGAAAAAATACTAGCCAATCAAACAGAATGCTAGTACTCTACTGATCTAACTAATTTAGATCAGTGATCACCAGCTTAGAAGATTTTTGCTGAGCCATGCATAGTGTTTTCAGCTAGATTGTGTGACAAAAAAATAAGTGGATCATCAGTCAGGACTTGTGTGACATATTAATTTTCGCATATACTGAAAAGAAGCTATGTACGCTATCAGTACTTTATTTTTTATTAAATATAATTGATCTACAATATTAGCAAAATGTTTGATGAGAATATAGATGCTGAGAAGGAGAAAGCTTTTGATGAATTTACCAAAGAATATGGACAAAGAGAAGGGGATTAGACTATTTATGATGATGATTAGCATGACTGGAATAACCTTTTTGTGAAATTAAGACCTATTAGAACACAAAGGCGGTCAAGTATTAGAGAGAGAAAATACTTAAATGATTTGTATATAGTTTACTTAGTATAAGTAATCCAACATTATTATTCTATGTACTCTTACAATCCAATATTACTTATCTTCTACAAATAATAAGTCTAATAGAATTATCATATTATCCACTTGAACTTCAATCTAAAATATGGGGTCTTTTCAGGACCTAGCCAGACAGTATTTACTATACAAGTGGCAGTAGAATAATCTCATGAAGTCAGCCGTTAAAGAAAATCCTGAATTACTTCGTAGCAATGTGAAAAGGGTGATTAGTATCATTGTAAAATTATTAAAAGATCATGTTAGTGTAGATAGTTCTCTGTCTAGCAAGAGGCTAAGATCAAAAAAATTATTAAAAAATAATATGTATTGTGAGCTAGATCCTAAACATTCATATTTATTTTTTGCATGTAATGATAAAAAATTTTTCTTGGTAAAAACCATTCCCTTAGAAAATAATCAGCTAAAATAACCTATATATTTTACTTGACTATTTCTATATATACTAATGAACTTTTGAATATTTTTATTCTTATATAAAATTTATCAATGTCAAACACTTAATCTAATAATTTATTAAAGGAATTAAATGCTAAGCTCTTAGCTAAGATTGGTGAACTTAGAAAGAAGTTTGCTGAAATTAAGATCAAAAATGATAAGTTTAAAGATAAGAATATTGAGATCCCTAAACTTAGAGGAAGTTCGTTGAGATTGAGATTGAGAGAACTGAACTTAAAGCCAAGATTACCAAACTTTTAAAACAGAGTGTGAAAGAGAATAAGAGGTATGATACTGGAAATACTGAGCTTAAGATCAGAATCGAGAAGTTAGAGAAAAATAAGACAAATTCTTCAGCTGAGAATATTAGGCGTGATGTTGAGATTACTGAGATTAAAGCTGAAATAATAAAACTAAGAGACAATAACAAAGAAAACAAAGAGCTAAACTCCCTTTAATCAGATAATATTTTTAAGGAAATAGTTTCAGAAAATAGGCAGAACAATAATACTATAGATTCGAACACTAATATAATGAATTCAAATACTAGTGAAGCATCTTTTAGTAATATTCAGGTATCTGATTCTGTAGTAGATCAGCTAAATAATGAAATAGGATGAGCAGTTACCTTTGGTGACACACTTAGTGATAATGCCAACACTGAGTCATTGAAAAATAAGGAAATGGATGATTTCTTGGATGAGATGCATAAGAAAAAGATTAGTAATGAGATTAGAGAGAGAAAATAGGAAGAAAAACTTCATAATGAATCGATTGTTCAGGATTCACTTATTTCTCATAATATAAAAACCGTTTTCTCAAGAAATGATCAAAGTCATATGACTTTGAAAACTAAAGTATTTGTGAAGTAAGATGATAATATGATTTCAGAGAAATCATTTGATAAAAATCAAATTGTAGAACAAGACCTAATACATGAATTATCTTTATCTATATTACCTGAAAATAATGTTAGCTCTATCGAAATCATCAGCTCTTGCGTTAGTTTAAAGAATTTGATTTCAGGTTCTGCCTAGAACTTATTTTATTTATTTGAAACAGCAATAAATCCAATCAGCAGGAAATATTAAACTGGTACAATTATTTTTTTGAATTTGAGAACAAGGTTGATGCTTTTATGGCTAATGATAAAATTAAGGATAAAACAGTAAGATTAATGATTTACAAGAAAATAAAACTATTTCTCTCTACTAAAATCACACAAGCTAACTTGTGTAAAAAAACTCATAGAGCTAGAAAACATCTTATGTTATTTGAAAAAAATGGGATTGGATTAGATAAAATTAAACTAGTCTTATATAGCACAACTGAGATTTCAAAACTGACTAATGCACAAATTCAAAATGTTATAGATCAAGTAAATAAATATACTAGTGATCATTAGAGTCATATGACTTTAATAAAAACTGTTCCCTCAGGGAACGATCAAATTAAGGCTGAGGTAAGTACATCAGCAAATGTATTATTTTCATCTCAATCTAATCCAACTTATAACTTTACTTATTTTCGTAACAAGACATTGGATCAATATCCCATATATAGAGAATATAGTAGTGAAGACTTCGATTATTATGGCATTATTGATAAAGCATTATGCCTATTATGCAAATTAGGTCATAATGATAAGAAAAGCATAAAAGGTAGATATAAAACTGGATCCTATTTTATTAAGTGTGAACAGTGTGAAATTGAGATAACTGCATAGTCTCATTATTTTACAATACTGTATATTTGCTCACACTTCATTGTGATATTTTTTTTTACAGGGCTAATCTACATCAACTATATTTACTATAATTTAAATTGATTTGTAATCATATAAAAAAACAATATGACTAAGTCCGATAAAGTATTAATCCCGAATATCTAGATTGGCATGCCAGATTAAGTGGGTTACCAAGTGTTTTGACAGATAAAATTCGCTTCAAATTATATAAAACATATAATAAAGAAACTGGAAATGAACCATGGCTATTACCAAAAGCTGTGATAAATATGTCAGCAGAACCTCAAGCCTCTGATTTCAAGCCTATCACCTTTAAAGCCAAACCGATCCAGAATTAATTATCAAGTCTGTCTTAAAGCATTTAACATACCTGAAATTCCAAAATAGTTTTAGGGGAATTGATAATTATAATTTTGCATCACCTCAGCCGTGGAGCTCACCATGTCCTATTTGCAATGGAAAACATGGGAATTATGGATTACATGGCTTATGGTACTGCGAAAATGGGAATCAGTTTCCTTATGATCCTGAATTAGCGAAGTTGCTATCCCAAGATAAGTTGGAATATTATCTTACCTGCAACACTTCAAGCAATAAACTTAAGTTCGCGATCATAGCCACGTGATGGCATTGCTCCGAAGAAAAAGCATTGGTATCTGCATGGTAAATGTCGGATTGATAGTCAAGATATTATTCCGTAGTATAAACTGCAATATGATTTTTTTTATTGTTTTCAATTAATAAAGAAAGGTGCATTTAAGTGCAATATATTTACATATCAATATTAGTATCTGTTGAGAAATTATCCGAGGATCCGGAAATGCGCAGTTTCATTCGAAAAACAACCAAGGTACAGTGGATTACAGGAACAGATCATTGTACAGTACTATATACTATATAATTTATTCTCGAAACCTCCGCATATACTCAAGCTTTTACATGTATTAATAGTATTAATAATAAAAAAGACCCGGGAACACGATTCCAGTGTCTATAGTGTCTATTGTAAATTTAAGGAGTATCCGTTGATCTGATTTTCGTGATGAGTCATAATAACGTAAGATTTATTCCAAAAATCGATCCTTAGATGCACTACAAATAATATAAAAAGGTGAGGCCTTAGTTAGTGAATCCTTTTATCCGCCTTGTGCAAGTAAAGCAAAAAGAAATCAAACGAAGTATATCTAATCAAGCTTACCATTATTTCATCATCGATATCATTAATCAAACAAACGAGTTTATTTCCCAAAGAATTAGAGATGATTCTAAGAAAACGTCAGGCATGTTCTTATATAAATCGCATTGCGTGATTCTCGGCACGTGTCAAATCAGCGCAGTAAAATTGTGGCTTGTAAACGTCTGGCACAGTAATCTGATTTGGCATATTTGGTGTGGCATCAGAAAAATTTGATAAAAAGCTACGCGATACTTGCTTATTTCATACAAACATACAAACATGACTGATGAAAATGCGCGTTGGAAGTCCAGGCTTCCTTATTTCCTAAACAACGAAAAATGGAGCTTGATAGATTTCTTACAGTGGAGCATTGTTTTTGTAAAAGATTTCGAAAAAAAGGATGAGGAGCATAGAGTATATAAAATTTGTTTAGAACAGCTACATCGTAATCCACATTTTCTAAATTCTCGTGACAGGAATTTCGTCCAACAACTGACATCGCAATGTTTGAATTCATTTGAGGTTTGAAACTTCTATTTTCTGTCTGTTATGTTTTGCCTTGTTTCGTTTGTTTCGAGTCCATAGCGAGGCTAGGTCGCGTCCGAATCTTTCTCTAGTCGAGTCTGAGAAAGTGCTTTGTTATAGTCTCGTTGTTAATTGCTTAAAGTGCTAGGTTGAGTCTGAATTCCCGATCGATGAGTCGAAAGTCCCAGGGTTGCGTCTCATTTTGGGTGGTTCGGGTGCACTTTACTTTTTGGTTGCGTCCAAAAGTGTTATAGCAAGTTCTTTTTTTTTTATACATATTTTAGCAAGAAAAGGATTCACCCGAAATAAGAACCTTCTGGAAAAATAAATCTGGAGTTATGAAAACACTAAAAAGAGCGTCGACTTTGAATTCTCAAAAGATTATTGATCATATGTTAAACTTACATTCCGACTTTAGTGAAGCACTATCCAATACCACGCGAGAAACTATAGAACCTGGTAATGTATTCAAGCTTATTTATAATGTGTACCGTTGAATTATATATTTAACCTTTTCTTTATAATAAGCTTTGAAGCGGAAGTCAACCTCTCACTCCGAAAGCGAGAATAAGAGAATCGCTACGGATTCTGGAAATATCCTTCCTGATGGTACAATACTATCAAAGCCACCACCACCGCCGAACTTCATCCCACAAAGTGACAGTGGCGAAGCGAGCTTTTCTTCACAAGTAAGTGAAGTGACATCTGATGATGATGACGGCGAAGAAATCCCTGATTTAGACCATATTCTAAACTCTGTGCCAAATAATACACAACAATGGGATCTACCTTCGGGGAGATCCGTCAAAGAAATTTATGCTGTAAATATATCTCAATGTGCAGAAGTCTTAAAAAAAAAGGAAACACTAAGTCCGGTAGAGAGAGCCACCTTGAGATATGGTATGTCAAATCTCATAGATCTCTCAGCGCATATGCGGGCTTGGTTTTCCGACATTGATATTCAGCATATGATGAAAGATCATATAGCAGTCTTAACGGTTCCTGCATTAGATGAAGAGGTGAACGCGTTCATCGCGGACGTTGAAAAGGTACATTTATGAATGTGTATTATGTATAATTAGTTCAACTTACAAAGATTTCTATTTTTATACATAGATGGTACAGAAGGGAAGATCTAATGAGGCATATAAATTTTGTCTTGAGAAGCATATCAACTCACCAATCAATACTTGCATTTACAAAATAAGCAAGATATACAGTGAATTGTATGTATTTACTTTATTTGTATTTAATATTTGTAGCTTGTCTTGATTTGTTTCTTACCTGATTATATAGTCTTTTCAAAGTAAAAGATGGTGATGATTTGCTAGACTGTGGAGAGGGACACACCGAAATAGATATTATCGTAAAAGGATGCTCTTATATCGTGGAAGGATTGAGGAAAGGCCTTGGAATAAATTGCAAATGGTAATTAAGCATACTTTTTTTGGTTTTTTGATTCTAGCTAATGTATAAATTCATAAATTTATGCACAGGGGAGAATCTTTCTGTCCTATGAGTAGATCCATAAGACCTGTCGATCGGTGTTAATCATGCCTAAATACTGAAATTGCAGAACAAGTGGATGCAAATGAAGCCAGGGATCGACAGAAACTTGGCCT